AAATATATTTTTTTTTTTTTTATTTAATTTTTTTTCTTCCAAAAATTGACGCGTGCGAGATGAAGTACTAGAGAAAATGTGTAATCTTTTGTAGACACAATTTTAAAATTTCACCACCAATATCCCTCTCTATTGTTTGCCTTCGTGGCGGTCGTCCCTCTGTGCAGCACTCCTAGTGAGTCGTTTGCAGCCGAACATGGCACCGCCGCACCCGTCTCGGGCTTGTCCCCTCGGCCTCCTCTGTCCGTCGAACGACAGTGTTGCTTTTGTCGGGCGTGACTCGGGGCCATGGAACCTTGTGTCCATGCACAGCCGGGTCCACCGTACGATTCGAGGGTTCACCAACGATAGTTTTCAGTCTTCCCGGATGCCTCCTTCGGAGGCGGGTCGGGGTCAAGCTTCGCTTATGTTTTGCTTTGAAAAATGTTTCAGAGTTTTTATGTTTTCAAATTCTTGATCAGTTGTTAGGTATATCTTCCTCCGATATTCTTTGCTCATCGTTTTCATCTTGGGAGTAGGCATCAAATCAGATATTGAAGGAAAAGTAATGGAATGTGTGTTGCCATCAATATATACACGTCATAGACTTCGGAAATCTGTTGACATGCAATTTTATTCCGAAGGGTGAATGCTTCCGATGGATACCGAGAAGCTATCAAAACAATTAATCGATATTGTCTTGCATAAAATAACGGTATAAGCAAATTCTTTTGTGTGCATAAAGTGGAAGAAAAGAGTCACAAATGCAAATTTTTCTTATTTTCAAACTTCGCAGTATGCAAATTTTGAGTTTGACGTCGAAGACGATGCTTTAGCGACAGAGAATTTGATTTGGCTTTAAACTTAATGTAAGACAAAGCGGAAAAGAAGGATCGACATTCAGTAAGTATCGATAAGTGCGTTGTCAACGAAGTCATTTAACCGAATCAGAAGCTTGGGGAATTGTTGGCCGGTTAGAGGGGAGCCCAACATAAGCCGAAGTAGCAGAAGCCATTGGAGTTTCACAAAGTGGGATTTATAGGATCTCGAACCGTTTTTTTTGGAGGGGGGGGGACTGGAAATGCAAGCCGAAAATCAGTGCAAGGGCGCAGACGTGCAACAACGTCCAATGAAGTCCGTTATTTAACGCTAACGGCTCGGGGACACCGAAATATGAATGCCACTCTTCTTCAACACCTTTGCTCGGCTACAGGCACCACAGTTCCGACACAAGCTATCCGAAACCACCTTCATGCTTTAGATCTGTATGCTCGCCTTCCAATGGTGTGTGTCACGTTAACAGAAAAATTGGGAGTTGGCAACACAGCATCTGAAGTGGAGGAGAAATGAATGACACAATATTCTTTCTTCTGAAGAGTCCCGTTTTTTTGTTCATCCTGATAATAGGCGTATTTTCATCTGGGGGAACACTAGATACAATCCTGCATTCGTGGAAAGAGCTCTTCTGGAGGAGTGGGACAGAATACCTCATTAATTGACTCAAAGGTGTTCACCGTTGCTGGCCGTCAGGGGAAACCGTACTCCTTTACTAAAAAGGATTTTCTTTTATGTAAAAACCCTTTCTCATATGTACAAATTGTGTTTTCTTTTTTTTTTCCTTTTGTACCCAATTTCACAATAAAACGCATTCCCCCCCCTGCCAATCAAATGTTATTTTTATCTCATATAGCCTACTACGTTTGTCGATATCGATCATTCAAACAACTCTCCAGGTGCAAGATCAACCCACAAACTCAATATCCTTTTATTGTTTTGAGCAGTGTATTATCAACCTATCATGCGAGGTTTTGACTAAAATCATTTGAAAAAGTTGACAACATATGCATTCCTTCTGTACCCTATAGGATGTAACTATTATAACCGTGTATATATATATATATATATATATAGAAAATAATATAACATATATATATATATATATATATATAAACAGGAATTAAATATTACCAATAATTGCACCTGACACTCTGTAACCAAAAAATCTTTTTTTTCATTATTGCCCATCCAGCTTTAGAGTTCAACAACATCATCAGGCATGATGTGACGAATAGCTTGTCTTGTACGTTCTTTAAAATCAGTTCCATCAAGACTTTGCAATCTAGCAGACTATGAGAAAGAAAAAAAATTATACAAATAACAATATTTTAAAA